AATGAATGATAACGTAAGTCCGCAATTATTAGCAAGTCATCAAAAAGCCTATGTAAAGGATCTTTTTCACAAAATAGGTACAACTTATTCCATAATTCTTTAAAGGATATTACTAAGGAACACTTTAATATGAGATGGCCTTGGATTTCAAGCGCAGGCTCTACCATTTCTTAGTTGTGTCATGGTGGGTAAGTCACTAAACCCCTCTGAGCTTCAATTTTCTAACCTATACAATGGAGCTAGTATTTACCTTACAGTTTGATTTTAAAGATATGCAGTCATGTTTATAAAGAGCTTGACTTGCACGCTGTACTCGATAGATGGTGATTATTATTATGAAAGGGAACACTGATTTTCATCAGCAAGTTAATCCTTTTGTCCCAGAAATGGGAGAGCTCTTCCAACACTGGCCAAGGTCAGGGCTGCCATCAGCCAAGGTAGGGAACATTCTCATTTTCACTTTCAAAATCAAGAGAATGGCACAGATCTAAGTAGAAAGGAACCAGCAGCACATGTTTTTAAATATTCATAAGGGCTGGAAATGTCTTACTCCTTTCGTTTTCTCTGCCATCTGCTTTTGTTTCTTTTCTTTTCATTCTTATGCCACAGCTGCAAATGAAAACAACCATACAATAACCCAAGTTAAATAAAAAAAAAATCAAAATAAAAACAATCTGATGGGTAAAAAGAGAAGATGAATTATAAAGTTTTCCCTTGAGTTCACAAGGCAGCAGAAGCAAGAAGAACGTTTGATGTGAGTCAGACCTTCTGGAAACCAAAATCCATGCCCCATGTTTATAATAACCATAGTAAGAGCAACCACCATTTATTAAATGGCCCCTATGTGCCACTTGATGATCAGTATCTCTAATTCCTAAAGCCACTCTTCAAAGTAGGTAAAGTGAACCCATTCCACAGAAAACGAAATGGCAGATCAGAGAGGTAAAATAGACTTTTAATGGTTACACAGCTAATAAGAGATGAAACAGATTTGAACTTGGGTGTGTCTGAATACAAAGCCCAGGCACTTTCTTAACCACCCTCTCCAAAAATGGGAAGGAACATGAAAAAAAATTAATTTGGGAAATATTTAGGGCAGACTATTTGTATTTAATGGATTTATTCAGATAGTTAAAATCTGTGATTATAGCTCTAATTAAAGTTAACTTAAATAATTGGTTGTTGTATTTGTGAATGTGCAATTAGTCTTCCACATAATTGCAGGGTTTCAGCATCATACTTTCTATTTATTCACTGCATCCCAGAGCTTTGCTACACTGACTTCTGTTCTACCAAAGGCCACATTACAGCTCTCGGGGTCTCTGGGTCCAAGGACCACGACCTATGATACCAAGAGTAGGGTCTAGGCTCAGCCCCATTTAGCATGTCTTTGTCCAAAAGTCAATGAACACCTCATCTTCAACTGCAATGTAAAAAGCTCTTACAACCTACACTGTTGTCCTGAAAACTCCTAGCAGCATGTACCTGAAGAAAAACTGGCAGCAGTGGTCTTCATGTGTTAATTACACTTGCAAAGTCTATTATGCATAGAAAGGGCACCTGCTGGCAGTGAAAATGACTAGAATCTGCCCTTCCTGTGCAGTGAGTAAATTGAGAGTTCATTTCTACAGGAGATAATAGTCTTCAGATTCTATTTCGTGTATCCCCTGCACGGGGACGTACTTAACATTTAAATCATCTGCAGAGGAACAAACCTCCTTCAAATCTACATGTTTCAGGCTCCTAGCACATTATTTAAAATGCTAGTTATCCCTGCTGGCTCTTACCACCAAAGATTAAACTCAACGGTGGTGAAAGTCACCGAGCACAATAGAATAAAGTTATTAGCATTGACTCAAATTTCATGACATTTGTAGTTTCTGACCAAAGCAGTGGTAGTAGGCTGAAGGTGATCAAATCAAACCTTGAATAGAGGATCTGTTTTTTCTCTTGGGGTCTTTTATTTCATCATTCCTACATCTTGCAGTTAATAAACAGATACCAATCTCCACAGGCCTGTAATCATCCTTATGTCAGATGTCAAAAAGTCCTTTCATGAAAACAAGAGATCAGGAGAGAGAATGCTATCACACAAACAGAAACTTCCAACATGGAGCCTAATCACAAAACCCATTCAGGCTCCAAAAATTACCAGCCTTAACTCTGAGTTTCTGGAGTGAAAGTTTGGGGTGACAAGGGCTTCGCAGCCGTCCTTGCCAAGTCTCCCCTTCTCGGTTAGAGCTGTCAGCACCGTTGCTCTCGGTCAGGCTGGTGACAGTTCTTGAAAGGGTTAGAGTTTGAGAGGAAGTTGAAAAGAGGATCTTGGGTCAGATTCCACGGGAAAGAG